GAAATTGGAGAAATGCTAAATTAAATAAATTATATGGATGTCTTTATTTCTGACTTTCTCACAGCTCTTATAATTATATACATTTGTAAACTAGAAAATCAGGTTATAATATTGTTTCCAACTTTGAGTATAGAAGTTCTTTTGGTCACACCTTTTCAACTTGTTATGGAATCCTCATGACGAAAACAGTTATGAAGCACTCAAACTCTTCAGAATATCTTGTGTTTCTCTCTTTAATAAAGCTATGCTCTCATCCTTATATTATCATAGAGTTTGACATTGTGTGGTGTGATAAGGTAGCCACACGTGGAAGCACATATGAAAGAAATTTTTCTCTAGAATTACAGAGAATTGTGACAGGTTAGACTGTGAACTTAATCTGTGTCTGCTCTGTATTTTACTGAATGCAACCATTTCATATTAGTGATGGCTTGAGTATTTTCATTGTTGAGGAAAATTATCAAATTTTGATACACATCGAACTGTTGTAAAGAGTCTTTATTTTTAAACATCAATTGCACTGTATGGAACTAGTAAAATTGCAGTATTCTAGATTTTTATTTCATTAGAGGCTAAGACATTCTTAAATACTTACAGTAGTGATGAGTTGCCTAAAGTTTTGTGATGTTCCCTAGTCTAACTTCATGATAAAAGATTAAAAAATAATGTCCAGATTGCTACTTCTCTGTTATGTCCTATTGTTTACATTTAGTAGCTAGAAAGTAGGACTCTTTTTTTTTTTTTTTCAGTGATACTCTTTTGCTTATGTAGTTCTTTTAAGCTCTTTTAGGTCATGAACTCCTTTAAGACTTTGGAAGCTATGTTTTTTCCTCTGGAAAGTTACACTGTTCAGACACATGGTTTGATGTTTAGATTTTAGAGCATTTATAGTTCTCCCTGAAGGGCCCTCTAGACTCCTTTTTAAGAACCAGTAACCAACCACTCTGTAGAATCTACAACTTTTTTGCTTTTTGAGGATGAAAAAGGCAGCCAATACACTTATTTTCTCAAATTAACCTTTGTATAGAAAATGTTGTCCACTCTAATCTATCATCATTTCATTCTAATTTAGTACAAAGGTGTTTATTGAGTATTTACTATGGGCCCTGGCCCTGCTCTAGGCATTGAAGATACAGCAGTGAAACCAAGCAAAAAACCTACCCTCATGCAGTGAATTTTTGGGTTTGTATGGACATTAGACACCATCAAGTTGAACTTTTCTTATTGTATGAGCAAACTGAAGCCCCGAAAGCTGCCTGAACTTACCCAGGGCCTCATAATTAGTTGGTTGCAAGGTTTAGGTACTGGAAGAATCAGAAAGAGGAAAAAGACATAGTTTTTTTTCAAGGCTCTTATGGTATAGACAGAAAGATAAAAATCAATTAATCATCATATCTGTTTTTACTAAGTATTTTAGTAGGAATAGAATTTCATTGAAAGACCTAGGTAGAAGAAATAAATGATTAGGCCTTTGCAGATGTCTTGAATGGTTGTACTGAACCTGAACTGGGTTTAAGGGAATAAGGTCATTTAAAGTAGAAGGAACAGTGCTAGCGAAGGAGTGGAGAGAGAAAGCAAAAAGGTTAATTTGAGAACTGTAAATTGCTGATAATCATTTTAAATTGTTTGCAGGACAGTGTCTTATTTCCTCCTGTGCCATGTTCCTATGTTCAGTTTTTGCTTTAGTCACTAGGAATACTAGTAATGTATTCAGGAACTAGTATTTTCTCAGTGATATAGTAATGGCAGAGTTACTTTATTGATTTGAAGTTTTTGTATGTTTGTTTTTGCTTTTTTCTATAGGTATATGGTGTTAATTTTAAATTTTTAATTTAAAAGTATTTTTCATTTTATAATTTTTCCCTCATTCATATTCCTCCTTTCAAATCACTAAATGTGATTTAGTTATTTATAAATATATGATACTTTTAGTTCAGTGTGCTAAAATTTGACAGAAGTGCTTTAAAGTGTAGATTTGAAGATAACAGGACTTAGGAGATCATGAATGTTTGATACATTTTTTGAGAAATTGAATTTGTATTGGTAGGTGTTGTCTACATCTACTGGCCTAACAAAAACGGTGTATAATCCAGCTGCTTTGAAGGCTGCACAAAAAACCTTACTTGTTTCCACCTCTGCAGTTGATAATAATGAAGCACAGAAAAAAAACAGGTAAGTACAGTGAGTAGTGTACAAAATTTGCATGTAGAAAAGCTTTTCTGCATGTATGTCTTTTCCAATGCTTATAAAATAGAACTAAAAGAAAGATATGTATTGGCTGCCACTAAACTTCCATTTTCCAAAGTATGTTAGTAAATATTAATTTTCTTCTTGGAATGAAAAGTTCTCCTGATTGATCTTTGATTTGCATACATATTTAAGTTTTACATAGGGAAGCTTTGCATTTAATTTTTATTGCCAGGCTTCTTCTGTTTTAATTATAATTATTTCTGTCTTCTTGAATAATTCTGTTTATCAGAAAAGTAGATCGTAAATATTCTGATATTTTTGTTCCCTTTCTCTAGGAGGCACTGAAACTTCAACAGGATGTAAGAAAAAGGAAACAAGAAATTTTAGAAAAGCACATTGAAACACAGAAGGTAAAATATTAAAGTTAGATTTCGCAAGATATATTTATGTGTCATAATTTTTAGTGAATTTAATCTTACACTATATGGATAGTCCTGAGAAACAAATTTAGTATCACTGATAATGGTACACCCGAAATATTTATGAATAATGTATTTATTTATTGATAATATATTGAGGATGAAGTGGACTGGGAATTAGATTAGTTTAAATGGAGATGTGGTTATTAACTTGAAATGAAAATATTTATCCAGATATGTTGCCGCACAGTAGTTTGTTCAGTAGATAGCGAAATGAAACCTTTTTTTTCAGTGTTGAGATATGTACCTTTCTTTAACTGGCGTGGGATTCCCTAGTCCTTTATTATCCAGTACAGTAGCTAAGAGCCACATCTGACTATCGAGTACGTGAAATGTGTCCAGTCCAAATTGAGATGTGCTGTAAGTATAAAACACACACCAGATTTTGAACACATAAAGAAAAAAGATAAAGCATTGCAATAATTTTTATTGAAATGTTACATTTGAAAAATTTCATCAAATAGAATATATTTAGTTAATTTTAATATATCATCTTTTTAAGGTGACTGCTAGAAAATTAAAAAAATTTCTTTTGTTGCTTACAGTATATCTTGTATACAGTGTTGCTCTAGTTTATCACATTTAATTAGTGTCAGTTCTCTATTGTGTCTGGTAATAAAGGTTATGACATTTCAAAATATTGAAAATACACTAACTTTTTGCCTTTTGGTTTAAAATCTATATGTCTTTTCTAATTTAAATTTGTTTATACTTGATAAAGAGATATCACAATGCTTTATACCAAAAACTGCAATCATCTTGACTCAGAGAACCTTAATACTGTATGGTGTCTTCTATTATGTAGTACCATGTGTATCTTCTTATTTCCTATCCATATTGGGCATATCATTCTAAGGCTAGCCAGCTACTGTTCCCTCTGACAAAGAAAGTAGGTAATTAAACATTCCATTTTTCCAATATTTCATATGAAAGGAAACTGTAAAGCTTTTTCTCTGATTCTTTATGGGTCGCAGACTACATTTGGAGTGGGAATACTTAAAAACAGTAATATCAACAAATGGATAAGAAAGTAAAATGGTTGCTATTTCAAATTGACAACTTTTTGCAGGGATCAAATTAAATTTTTTACGGTTGTGTTCTGTGAACTTATAGAAATTCTTAGAGACTTAAATAGTAATATAGTTCTTCACAAAGTAAACCAAGATTAAGACTTTGATTGAGGTAATTAGCATCACTAGTCTGCTCTTCTGCTATCTTAGTGGTTGTAAGCCTTGTCATGAATACATAAACAAAAAGTAGAGGTTATTTATATTTTTGTTTATTTTGCTGTTTGCTTTTTTAATAATAGTAGGAATAAGTGTCTTAGATTTTTTTCTTAAAAATTTGACAGATGTTAATTTCAAAACTGGAGAAAAACAAAACAATGAAGTCTGAAGATAAAGCAGAGATAATGAAAACTTTAGAAGTTTTGACAAAAAATATTACCAAATTGAAAGATGAGGTCAAAGCTGCTTCTCCTGGACGCTGTCTTCCCAAAAGTATAAAAACCAAGACTCAGGTATATTAATTTGTGTTGTTATTCATATTACTATTTAGAAACACTAGAACACTACATTATTTAAAACTCAGTTTTCCTTTTAGCTAATATTCTTTGCTCAAAATATTATTATATACTACCATTGTCCCCATTCTCCATTGATTAATAAGTAAATAAATACAAACAAACAGTCTCTCCTTATCTTTTGAATCCTGTACATTGTAGTTACAAAGTCAGTAATTAGGAGAATAGTTATGGATAATCTTAAAAAGGTGGCTTGAGGGCAAAATAATACAGGTACTTGAATGCTTGACTGAGGAGTTTGATATAAGTAGTTGGTGATATAAAACGCTAATGAACAGAGAAGTAATCTCATATCATTGAAATGAATTGATTAAGCAGGAGAAAATGCAGGTGGATTAACCCATTAAATAAAAATAAGCCAGCAAGTTAATTTCAGATGGCCATAAGTGATTTAAAAAAAAACCCACAGTTATACAGTACTTATAGTAGGGGTGTGTGTGTGTGTATGTATGTGTATAAAATCATGAGTTCATATTGATATTTCTGTTTCTAATCCAGCACCACAGTATTCTTCCTTTCCTTCTCTTATACCATGTTTTTTCTCCCTGTTCCCATAACAACTTGGTTCCCACTGACATCAGTACAGTACTCATTTGCACAGTCCCATAATACATTCCAAATAGTTTCAGAATTGCTACAACAATACCACTTCCAACTAACTAAATAGTAAAAATCAGAATTTGTTTGCATTCTTTACAACCTCACAATATACTCCACTGAGTATAGAGTTAAAACTGTGGGTGTAGGATTACTTTTTTCTTTTGTGTGGTTATGTTTTTAATTTGATAAAGTTAGGTCTGCTTCTGTATGTATTCAGTTTTGGATTCCTCACCCTCTCAATTCTTGTCGACTTAACTTTATTTTTTGAGTAAGTAAAACATTAACATGATTCAAAAGTTATACTATATAAAAAAGTATGTAGAGACAGCCTTTCCCCTTTGATTCTTGATATTCTGTTCCCTACTCTTCCCTCCCTCTTGGTGTGTGTGTATGTATTCTTTCCTACATAATAGTATACTGTGGATTGCTCATTAACACCTTGGTGTTTTGTCTTTCTTTTCACAGTCATTTCCTGAAAATTACTCCATATCAGTCAATAGAAACCTCACTCTGACTTCTGTATGGAAAATGAATTATAGGGAAGTCAGTGGAAGTAGGAACAAGTTAGGAAGCTCTTGCAGTAGTGTAGACCAGAGATGACTGATGGCTTGAACTAGGATGGTAGTCCTGGAGATAGAGAAGAAAAGTATGGATTAAATGAGAATGTGTAAAAAATTCTTTGTAAAAAGTTTTGCATAAATGCAGGATGTTAATTATTGTCACCTAAAAATATTAATTACTATTTTCTAGATGCAGAAAGAATTGCTTGACACAGAACTAGATTTATATAAGAAGATGCAAGCTGGAGAAGAAGTCACTGAACTTAGGAGAAAGTATACAGAATTACAGCTGGAGGTATATTTCATCACAACTACACAGTATGCTAAAAAGGAGCAGTTTTACTGATAGGAAATAGGAAAAGGGGGAAAGAGGTTAACACATTTTTCAGAACTAACAGAGAAAATCTATGTAGTGAGGGATGGTGGAAGTTCTGCCTTTATATCCAAGTCCCTTTGCTTCCAGTGAATTTTGTTCCTTTTCTGTTTTTGATTTTTCTTCCGGGGACCAAAATCTATTAAAGACTTTTCAGGTATTCTTACGTAAATATTCTGTGCATATATAGACATTGTTACATTGAGTTACTCTAAGGATCAGATTTTTATTGGTAGAATTATATTAAAGAACATGCTTAAGTTTTGCCTATAGGTGGTGCTGTGGATGTTTATAAAAGTGAAAATAAACTAGTTTCTTATAATTTAGTTATATGATTATTTATATTAAAAAACTCCTAGTGAAATTAATCTCTATACATACGAATCTTTAATATTTAGTTAGTGAAAAGGTGTTTAAAAATCAGAATAACATTTTGAAGTACAGAGACATTTATGCCATTAATGTAGTTGGTACTTGTCTATAGTCATCATTGTTTGATGGCGCGATTTAAATTTTTTGTATCTTAGCTTATCACTTTTGCTTAATTTAAAAATAATGCTTTTCCTCAAATTTGTTAGCAACTTGATTATCTTTTTCCAACATACTACAAATCTATATTAAGTACTGGCATTCAGGTATTAAAGACTTGACATTTAGCAGCCCCTGTGTCCTGAGGCTCTATCTTGTTTAACTGTTACAGGAAGCCATAGGATGGTTTCCTAAACCTGCATACGTTTTGCATTCTCTGGGAAGTTGATATGGTTGTTTGTGGGTTCTACCCAAGATAACGGGTTTTGAAAAAGATACATTTCTTCTATGTTAATATAGAAATTGTGTTTCACCATTTCATGCTTGTGTTAGTGCAACTTTAAGAAACATTTAAAAATATTTTGGCCCATAATTTTAGTAAATAAATAATAGCATTACTAATTATATTATAGACTGATAATATAAAGATTACTAATCTTTATTAGTCTATTTTCATTCTTTATCATGATATAGCTAAACACTGAATGACATCTTATTTTTCTTTTATGATGGCCAAACTTGCCAAACTTTAGTTTGCAGTTAATATTAGTATATACAGTAATGCAGTTTCCCAGAGTGTGTTCATTCACTACACCAATTCCATATTGTGTTAGTAGATATTAGTGAAAAAGCTTTTGAGGCCAAATAAATTTGGAAAAGGTTATATTAAGCATGCTTTTTGTATATGGTTTCCTATAGGCTTGTAACTTGTAAATCTCCAAAAATACATATTAAATACTCAGTATTATTTATCTTACTTGTCCATGAACCTCCTTTTTTAAGGAGCATTTTGAGACATTAAAGTTCCTCAGAGCACAGTTTTGTATATGCTGCACTATTATTAACATTAATCCTTCACCTTTGAAGTTTATTACTTGGATTTTAGATAACTATTTTAGCTAAGGTTAAAATTAACTCTCTTGAGATGAAGAAAGTGAAATATTTATACTTGCAGAGATTTTGGCCGTGCCTGCTTGGCATTTCCACGTCTCACATCCTCAGATTCAGCACATTCAGAATTGTATTTATTTTGTCCCTAGGCTCATCTACACAATTATCCAAAGTAGAAATTGGAGAGTCTTCATTGATTCCTCCTTTTCCTTCAGTGTTCATACCCATTTAATCACCAAGTTTTATACATGTTACTCCTCAATATGTCTTAAATATTTTAATTTTACTTCTCTGTATCTCCATTGCCACCACGATAGGCTAAGCTTCTATCTTCAGCTGTTGGAGCTACTGTACTAGCCAAGTGACTGGTTTCCACCTTGTTCTCTTTTTCTTCTTCCAGAATAACATTTTAAACACTGATTTGATTACGTCACTCTTGATTTTCATGGCTCTTGGGATAAAAATCAAAATCTTTAACATGGTCCTTAAAGTTATTCATGATCTGGCTCTGCCTATCTCTCCAGCCTCATATCTCCATCCCATGTGGTCCAGCTGCATTGGATTTTATTCCTTCTTTTTGAAGTACTGTGTTCCTTTCAGCCTTGGTTCCTTTGTTCATGCTGTAACCCCACACTTCACCCTTGCCTTGCTTGTTCTTTGTTCCTTCTTTGATTCATTGAACAAATACTAAATTTCTGCAATCTGCCAGCTACTATTGTAGGTGCTGGGGGTAAAGTAGAGAATAAAACAGAAAAAATTCTTCATAGAACTTTTATTCTAGTTCTCGTTCTATTCTAGCCATTGCAAGTCTTTAATGTTCTATTCAAATCTTTAAGTAAAGCATTTCCTCATTTTTCTGAGTCACTTCTCATTAATATAATTAAGTAACTTGGTTTCTTAATGTCTCTACCCCTTCAGGATTTGAGTTTATGAGGGGAAAAGACTTGCACACAAGAAGTGCTCATTAAATACTGGTGGAATGAGGGAATGGTGTGCTATTCATATAGAGTGATGTAGTAGATTATAAGTTACTATGCTACATTGGTTATATAATGGCGTTACTGTAAATGATCAAAATGATGAATTTGAAATAACTCTAGCATCTAGAGTCAACAAGCAAACAAATAGAAATGCTGTATTTGAAAGTCATAACTGGAAAAAATGCCCATATATATATATATAGGTATTTTGTGTCTGTGTATTAAACTGACTTTGTGACATTTAACACTGCACTATTTGGAGATCAAGAATTGCTGGTCTTTCGTGATATAGTCTGATGTCTTGGAGAGGAAGGACTTAGTAGAAAAGGCACATTTAATAATTTCAAAACATTGCTTAAATGTTGCTTTGTTGTCTCAGTTCATTAGCTACTTAAATTTGCTTTCACTTCAAAAGCTAAAACCCTAGTTTAAATTATGAGATCCTTTTGTAGGATATTATTTGAATATGATGTCAAATTGTATAACCTGTGTCATATTGTGTGACTCATCTGACCAGCTAGAATACTTAGCTTGTGTTAATAATTGTGATGTTTAACCTACATGTCTAATCTCTTCTAGGCTGCAAAACGAGGGATTCTTTCATCTGGTCGTGGTAGAGGAATTCATTCAAGAGGTCGAGGTGCAGCTCATGGCCGAGGCAGGGGTCGAGGTCGAGGTCGAGGTGTGCCTGGTCATGCTGTGGTGGATCACCGTCCCAGGGCATTGGAGATTTCTGCATTTACAGAGAGTGATAGAGAAGATCTGCTTCCTCATTTTGCGGTACTTTCTTACTGTCCAACAAAACAAATACTAATAATCATTGTTGAGGATAATGAGTATTAAAGGGGAAAGTATGAAAATGAAATGGATAATTTTCAATCTATTAATCTCACCAAAGGATTTGATTAACTTATAATGATCTTTTAATGAATTATTTAAAAAACAATCTAGGGTATTTTTTGTTTATTATTTAGAAGAAATGTTGCTATTGTTACACTTAGTAGGCCTTCAGATACTGTGAAATGAATGATATAAACTTAATCGTTTCAGAGAGGGGAAGTCCTATAGTTTTATTTGATACTTTTAGGAAAAATTTAACATTGCATGGGCCACCCATGTATTTTTTAAGTTAAGATGGAATTTTATTTGTTAATATTGTGTTCTTGATGTAGCTGACCTAGAAATGAAACAAGACAAAATCTTGGTATATGAGCTTAAAGTTGCCTTAGTCAGTGCCAGGGTGTAGTTAAAGGGAGTCAGTCTAATGGTAACAGACCAATGTATGAGGAAGGAGAATGAGGCTCTAGTTCTTGCTAATCCATTATTTAACTTACTTAATTCCTGGGATCTGTTGAGCTCATGTGCAGAATGGAAATTCTGTCTGCCTAAAGGCCTTTCCAACTTCAATGTTGTGGTTCTTAGTGGTGTCGCAAAGGTTAGTTACTAAGCATCAGTCTTGCCCTCAGCATTACAGTAATTGCTCTGGAGATATGAAGTAAATAACCGCTACTTTACCTTCAAGGATGTTACATACATCAGTTTAGCAGAGACTGGTTAAACTACAAAACAATTTATAATCAAGTTAAATTTATTAAAAACTACAAATACTTCAGTAACTTAGAGAAATATCTTTCACACAGGCAAATGATAGTAAAAGAGCAGTAGAGGAAAGTTTCATGAGGTAGTAAAACTGGAGCTTAGGTCTTGAAGAGCAGATAAACTTGCAGATAGCTACACAAATAATACAGCCTTTTGAATATTCAGATTTAAATGTTTGACAATTATATTCCAGACTGTGAACAGCAGTTACAAAGGTGAAACTATACTTTGTCAGGGCATAGGGAGGTATTGAAAAAAATGGTACATGTTTAAGAAATAACTAAAATGATTAATATTTAAGGATCATAAGTCTGGAAAGTCTTGAGCTTGATGGCTTCAAAGGGAGAAAGAAAAGAATCAGAAAACTAGAAAGAAGCTTGGAGATAATCTAGCCCAGTTCTTCCCTGCCATATACCCCACTTTCACAGCTTCCCAGAAGGGAGAAGATCCAGATAACTTAGGTGTATTTTCATATAGTTTTATAGCTAATCAGGAAGTTAGCAAAGAAAGTGCCAAAATAATCCAAACAAACAAGGTGAGTCTATGAATGTATTTAGGTGAGACTGAGGTGGTTTTGGTTTTAGAAATATTCAGAGCCTATAAATGAAGATTCCTGCACGTATTTGGAGATACTCCATTTAAAGTTAGTAATAGTCATGCACATTTAAAAATTATCAGTCTTTAAGGTAGTTTCTCTGTCTCAGCCTGTGATTTGAACATATGACAGGTATCAAAAACTCATATTGTTAAAGGATCGTTGACTGTTACAAATTGTGATTAATAAAATGCTTTCTTTAATTTATCCACTGGAGCCAAAAGTAGAAATGTTACAGCTAAAACTTACAGAGCACTTATTTTGTGGCAGATATTATTCTGAATGCCTTATATAGCTCATATTATGAGTTATTTTGACAACTCTGTGAAGTACTTACCTCTATTATGCCTGTTTCAGAGGTGAGGAAAATGAAGCATGAAGAGATTAAGTAACTTGTTCAGGTATACTCACAGAGCTGGGATCTGACTGATTCTACAGTCCATTTTCTTTACTATGCCCTGCAGAATTTTTCTTTGGAGTATGTGTATTTAATGAGATGATGGTTATAATTATATTTGGGGATAAGAAAGAAGGAAGGTATTAGCAATGACATATAAAGGACTAGAGTTTTATGTGATAAAATTGTCTATTGGCAGAAAAATTCTCCTACATGTGGAAAAAATAAAATGCAGCACACCCAAAACAAGCATAATTGAATATGTTTAGCTTCTAAATGTCCTAAAAGAGTATGGTCTAGAGGAGTAAATAGTAATAGTAAAAGCAGGGTCAGTTAGTGTTAAACATTTGAATTGAAAGACTTGGACTCTCATCCTGGTAATTAACTTAGTTGCTTTAGAAATATTACTTAAATTCTCTGAATCTTTTGCCCTTTGTCTTTAAATTGAAAGTGATACCAAAAACTCATAGAATATACTGAGGATTAAATATTCTGCTTTAGAAATAATTAAGCATATTCTGAGATTAGAATGACGAATGTAAAAAGAATGAGAATAAGGAAGCTCAGTCTTTGACCATTGTTTTCTTTTATTTAAAGAATAGTTCAGTCAAGTATAAGATTCCCTAATTCTAGAAATTGTAGAATTATAAATAATATTGGAAGATAGGACTACCCTTTATCTTACAATATCAAGTATTAAAATGAACTATTCATAATTTTTTTCTGCTAATCACCCTGAATTGTTATGTATTCTGGGTTATATTTATTAGTATTTTAATATTTTAAAAACCATTAGGATTTTGGATGTTGCAAAATATTTATTTGGAGGAAATACTTTTTTTAATTTAAAGCAATATGGTGAAATTGAAGATTGTCAGATTGATGACTCTTCACTTCATGCGGTAATTACATTCAAGACACGAGCAGAAGCTGAAGCAGTAAGTATTATAAGTCTAATTTATTGAAATTCAGATTTAAATGTCTTATAAATATTGCCTCTTAAGTTTTAATAGGAATGAATCTTTTTAAACTTACTAAATAACTAAATTTTGACAGTAGATAAAACATATGGAGTGGAATTCATGGCCACTAAGAATGTCTTAGAGGCAGTTTTATATATAACATGAATATTTAGAATATATAGTTAGTCACCAAGTTGAATGTCAAGTTTATTGTCTTGAGACATCAGGAATTCTCCTTCTGTTCTCTTTAACAGGAGATAGGGCCACTCCACTTTTCCATTTTTCTCTTTTCTCAGCTGGCCCAGAACAAGTCTACTTTGGCAGAATGAGTGGTGAAGGATAAGGTAGAAGCTGAGATACAATCCTGATGGCTGCTCTTCTTAACCATCCCTCATCTGCTGCTTCCTAGTCCCAGTTGGCTGAACCCTAAAGAAGTGTCCCTGGCTCAGCATACCCTCAGCTGGGCCTCTACAGTTTTTTGTCCAAGACATGATATATTGTGCTAGCTTTTAGAGTTCTTTTCATATAGTTGTCTTAATATGTGTATCTTGAATTGTCTTTCCAAAGAACGACCAGAAGTATTTGCAGTCTTGTCTGTCTTCTGGGTTTAAAGAATTGAAAGAAGGGAAACTGTGTGTAAGGTATAGGGGATTCATAGGAACCTTTTTAGCCCTTTGTGTTCTTTCTTTGGGATTGTAGAGAAATAGAGGTACCATCTGACCTCGGGAAAATGTATTAAGTGTTCTAAACAGTTAACCTAATGTGAATAGAAGAGTTGAATGTTTTTCAGAAATTTTAAGTTGAGTGTGGTCTAAATAAGTTTTGAAAATCTTCAGAATTGATTTATCACTCTTTGTAGCAAATACTCCCTGCCAACACACGATACATTGCTTGTGCTTACCTGGTAGGAGTTGCTTTTGGAGCATTGTAACCTGTGAAAGACTGGGGGTCTGATAAGTCTCAGAGAAGTGTTGAGCTGGGCCCTGGAATAACATGGTTTCTAGGTCAGGCGGGTGGGTAGTGGATAGTTTTATAGAATAGGATTTCCTCATCCCAGAGTTTTATTTTATTAAATCTAGTTTGTAGTAATCTTTTTTTCAAATTTCTTTTGTGAAAATAAAAGGTAATTTATAATTGATGAGAGTTTAAAACTTTCTTATAAACTTTTGTATGTATATATGTTATTGAAAGAATAGATCTTTGATCACATTTTCTCTCGGAGGTGTTGTTGAGTACAAGTTAACAATAAACTTCCCTTAACCGATGGCTTCAGTGTCAGTTTTCAGTGTAATGTTGGATAGGTAGTTTGAATACCACCTTTTTATGTTGTGTATTTTCTAGGAAATAGTCATATTATAAAACAATGGCAGTTGTTATGTTCAAATGGTTACAATATTACCAAGTTGTGAATTTAGTAAATACTTTAAAAATGTATAAACTACTTCTCCCTGCCTACATATTTGGGTAAGAGGGGGAAAAAAAAGAAAAAAAAAAAAACCTTTGCCTCTTATATAATTTTTGGATGTTTTGTTTTTGGTAAGTAAGACCTATTGACATATGCCTGCCTTCTGGGGTTTTGCTTTTTCTACCTCATTGTAAATTTTTTAATATATGTTTTTATACTGTGCATATATTTTCCAAAGGAATAGCAATCTCTTTTGAGACCAGGATTAATGTATAAAACTTTAACAATGAATTATATGAAGGTTGAATAAGTGGCAAAATAACTTAGGTTAAATTAAATCTGATGAGAGTTAGCTTATCAAGGTAAATACCATTTTAGTTGGAATACTTAACAGACTAAAAGGAACAACTACCATTGCTATGATAAACATTTGGAATTCAGTTATAGAAGTTGTTAAAACATGAACATTTCCTTAAGCCTAAAAATTTTCTTAAAATTTTGTTAACACTCTGTTTTAGAACAGAAAATTAACTTGAAGCTTATACTTTACAAGCAGAATATAGGCTAAAACAGTGGTTTTCACACTTCCAGATTTCAAGGAACATTGAGGTTTAGGAATTTAAAAATTAGTATGTTTGACATTGGGGTGCCAGTTAATTTTGTCAAGGAAGAATGCTCAAAAAGTACGAAAAAAAGGATTGCTTGTATCACCATCATTATATAAAACAAAGAAATATGTAATACCAAAATGTAGGTGAATATAAACGCCAAGAAAAAGAATAGGCCTTCCCAAGAAAAGAAAATTAGCAACCTTTGCTAATGTTTATTTCCAAATATGTCATTGTTCATAATTTCTGAACCATTGTATTAGATGATTGAATGTGTTTATCAGTATTTTCTAAAGTCAATAGATGCATAATATTTCAAAGTGAAAGTATTGGAATAAAATAATTGAAACATTTGAATATGACTGAAAAGAGAGAAATTTTCCCCAGGAAAGAAGTTGAAATATTTTAAGGAGTAATGATATAACAGAACCATTTTCGCTTTAGATTAAGATGGATAAGGTTTGACTCTGGTTAGTTAAAAGATGGATCCTCCTGCTTTATTTTCTACTTTCCGGTTTGTCTGTCACCACCCCAATGTACTAAAGTTGAATAAGTACCCAAACAGGACAGGAAAAAATAACCTCTTCCCATGACTGGTTAGAATGTTATTTTTCCTACCCTGAATTATTCCTATACTTTTATAAGAAACCAAGATCCAGTTTTAGAATAGGAATAAAGTTCTTATTTTATAAGAATCAGTTCCAAAGATAAAACTACAGACCCAAAGTCAAAGAGGTGTGTAACTTTTTGTATTGAAAGGAAAGAGAATCTTGTTCTATTTGTGCATTTTTGACACTCATGCCTCAGCTCCTAGTAGTTATGAGGATTCATTGATTAAAAACTGGTAAGGTATGCTTAGAACAGTGCCTGGAACATAATAAACCCTGCTAACATTAGCTAATATTAATATTATTGTTTGTGTTGTGTGTGTGTGTGTAAGTGTAAGAATGAGGACTGACTGGTAAATCAGTGAAACCAAAAAGAAACAAGATAGAGTAAATGATTTTAAAACTCTGATTTTTGACTTGAAGTTAGAAGTGCAAAATTGGATTCATAAGGAATAGTGCAGCATCAGCAGTTGAAGGTGATGGGGCTGACTGAATCAATACTAAATTTATAGCAAGAACAAAATGTGTAAGTGGATTCAATCAAACAAATCAAATCATGTGTAAAACAGACACTATGTGTGTGTTCTTACTGACTGACAATAGTTACAAAGAACTGCTATGTGATGGACACTGTGCTATGAGAATTAGTAAATCTAAATCTGAAGCTTGTGAGAAAGTGGCTAGGCAGCTTGAACTCAAGAGCTAAAGGAATAGAAGTCTTTCCCTATAAAAGTTCTAAAATTTAGATTTTACATTTTTTTTTTTTGGTGGCTGTTTAATGTAACTCCTGCTAAACATCATATACTGTGGTTATTACAAACATTAATAAACTTGGTTTTAACCTACTTTTATAGATTAGATTTATCATTATGGTTACTAAAACTGTAAGGTACACTAGGATTGTAGCTTTAGCTCTTCTGACTTTGTTCAGTTTTCCCCACAGTGTTTTTATAGGACACTGGTTCTGTAAGAGCTCCCCTAACAAAGGATTCTCTTGTCAGATAAGTTTGTGAAGAGCTACATTTTGTATATTCAATTTAGATTTATAATCTAAATGACTTGAAAAGGCAAAAGACAAACATTCCTGTTTAATTTTGTTTAATCCAACTTTTTCCAAATGTTAATTGTTTCCAGAATTATTTTCCTTGTAAGATTTGGAATCTGCCTCATAACTGCTTTTTATACTTTCCCCACTTTCTTCATTTGTCTAAATCTTCACCTTTTTTCCTTCTGTTGTGTGTATTCATGCTTTTTTTCCTTCTGTTGTGTGTATTCATGCTTTTTTTCCTTCCTAATTTGCCTCAAACTTTGAATGACTCTGTGCAAAAAAAATTAGGAAAAGTTCTAGAGTGAGCCTATGAATAAAATACTTCAGCTTTTAAACAGACTTTTTGTTTACACTTCGTAACACAGAAATTAGAATTGTAAAATGAACCTCCACATGCTCATCATCAAGCTTCAGCAATTATCTACTTATGATCAGTCTTATTTTGTCATATCTCACCCACTGCAACCCTCTACCTCTTTATTTTGGAGCCATTCCCAGTCATCGTGTCATTTTATCTGTAAGCATTTCAGTATGTCTTTCTCAATATTAGAGTCTTTAAAAAAAAGTATAATTACCACACCTAAATATTTCCTCAGTGTTATCAAATACCCAGAGTTTACACTTCCCCATTTTTTTTAAATATATTTCTTAGTTTATTTAAGGATCTAGAGTAAGTTTCATATTTTAAGTGATTGGTATACACAATTATGAATTCATGAATTTAAACATTTCATGGGTATTGATCCGTTGTTCTCAGTTACTGATGTATTGTTCCATCTTTGGCTAGTGGCCAGATACAGGTTTGTTCCTGAGTTCTTTTGACAGGACTCTAGTGGGTTATGATACTTTCTTTGCTTTCTGATATAAAAAGGTGTTCTGAGTTCATCTTATACATTTTCTTTTCCAGACCAGGAACTGGCCATTTCTCTAAGGAGCTCTGATTCTTTTTACTGGGAAAGGTATTTAGAGACCACAATCTGAGTCCTAGGGGTGCTCATTACTACTAAGTATGTTACTGTAACTAATATTTTTCAGTGGTCAGAGCTTAGAGTGAAAAAAATTACATTCATACATATACATATATACATACATGGTTATATTCACATGTATAAAGAAAACTGAAAGCATCTACTGGTATTTCCCATTTAATTCTGGGCTCTGGTTTTATACACACATGTATCCAGGCATACCTTGTTTTATTGTGCTTTGCTTTATTGCAATTTGCAGGAGTTTTTTGGTTTTTGTTTTTGTTTTTGTTTTTTTTTTAAATTGAAGGCTTGTGGCAGCCCTGCTTCTAGCAAATCTGTCAGTGCCCTTTTTCCGGCAGCATTTGCTCACTATATGGCTCTGTCACATTTTGGTGATATTCACAATATTCCAAACTTTTTCATTATTATTACATTTATTATGGTGATCTGTGGTGATTTGGGGGAACCATGAACCATGCCCAAATACAACGGTAAACTTAATTGATAAATGTATGTGTTCTGACTGCTCCATTGACCAGCTATTACCCATCTTTCTCCCTCTCCTCAGGCCTCCCTGTTCCCTGAGATACAACAATATTGAAATTAGGCCAGTTGATAACCCTCCAGTGGCCTCTAAAGTTTTCAAATGAAGGGAAGAATTGTACATCTCTCACTTTAATAAATCAAAAGCTGAGATAGGATGAAAGCTAGACCTCTTTCTCCAAATAGTCAGCCAAGTTGTTGAATGCAAAGGAAAAGTTCTTGAAGGAAATTGAAAGTGCTACTCCAGTGAACACATGAATGATAAGAAAGTGAAACAGCCTTATTGCTGTTATGGGGAAGGTTAGTGATCTGGATAAAAGATCAGGCCAGTCACAACATCCCATTAAACCATAGCCTAATCCAGAGCAAGGCTCTAACTCTAATTCTGGGAAGGCTGAGAGAAGTGAAGGAACTGTAGAAGAAAAATTTGAAGCTAGCCAAGGTTGGTTCATGAGGTTTAAGGAAAAACGCCATCTCCATAATACGAAAATGCAAATTGAAGCAGCAAGTGCCGATGTAGAAGCTGCAACGAGTTATTCAGAAGATCTAGCTAAGATAATTAATGAAGATGTCTACCCTAAACAGATTTTCAGTGTAGATGAAACAGCCTTATATTGGAAGAAGATGCCATCCAGCTCTTTCATAGGTAGAGTGGAAAAGTCGGTGTCTGGCTTCAAAGGTCAGGTTGACTCTCCTATTAGAGGTCAGTGCAACTGTTGACTTGAAATTGAAGCCATTCGTCATTTACCATGCCGAAAATCCCAGGGCCCTTAGATTTATGCTAAATCTACTCTGCCTATGCTTTATCAATGGAACAGCAAAGCCTGGATGATGGCATCCAGTAAATTTTAAGTTAAAACTTCAGAGAGTTATAGGCTCACCTTATAAATTTGAAGAAGTGTGTGCTGAATATAGAGATTTACAAAATTAAGTCATAAAAAGTTTTTGAAGAACTTACTATGGAAAATCTCTAACACTTTTTGCTTTTTTGGTTGGATAAAACATGAGTTTAAAGGGTAGACATTTTGCATGAGACAATTGGAATTCCTTACAGGAATATATTTTTATGTAATAGTTATAGCTTGAAAAAATTACAGTTTGTTTCTGAACTTATGTATAAGTACTTAAATTTTTTTTAGTTATATGACATGAGGGGGCTATGGACTTAAAACTCTTGAGCTGCATTTTAATAGGCACGAAATCTTTTAAATTTATTATAAATTTATATGTGCAGATTTAAAATTTATACCTGGGGACTTTAATATCACACAACTCATGGTCAAATGTCATTGAACATGTAATTGTTTCTACATTTCACATTATACTGTATTTTGAGATTGTGCAATAAATCTTTTGTGACTATGAGTTATTTCGGTATGTTGCTAACATTGATTTATGTTAGTTCACATTGCTTGAATTTGAAAGAACTGTTTCCAAAGCAGCCACTTAATGTAGCAAGTACTTAGACTCAGTTTTATCATACGCAGTTCTGAAAGCTAAGTTCAGAGTTTTTTTTTCTTCATTGAGATAGTCATATTTTGTAAAAAGTGATGCAGCAAACATTTTATGATATTTGTGATTATTTGATGTAATTTAAAAATAAGTACTTCACACATGCAAAATTATTCTTGTATTTGTTAAAGATTTCTAGTTTATAGTTACTTCATGAGCCATTTGTAAATTAATAAGAATTAAAATGCAGTAAGATACATTTAGCCTATTGATTCTAATTTAGACTTTTTTTTTTTCGAATTTAGACTTTGATTCAGAATCTACAGCCAGGATCTTGGAAGTTCTTCGAGATTATTGCTTTGAATAGCAATTCTCATTGTACTATAATAGAAATGTAGACATAGTTCTTCTAATGAGATATTGGACAGTAGTGAAATAGCTGTGCTCAATTTGAGAAATTATTCTTGTTTTCTTTTTAAAGGAATTTACAGTCACTAGCCTGATTTTAGAAGTAAATAACCATAAAAAGTAAGTTGTAAATTGCAGTAATAAATAGTAAATAGAGAAGTAAATAACCACAAAGCAAAAATAGACAACTGTCTTCACTTGTGCTTAGCTAGTTTAATTTAAATATTAGGTGCTATAACATTTCCTTTTTTCCTTCAGAAATTATTAATGGTTTATATTCCAATGTTCTTAATTGTTTTAGGCTGCAGTTCATGGAGCTCGTTTCAAAGGGCAGGATCTAAAATTGGCCTGGAATAAACCAATAGCTAATATTTCAGCTGTTGAAACAGAAGAAGTTGAACCTGATGAAGAGGAAGTATGTTTTCCACTTGTTTTTACCCTTAAATGTTAATGTTTTTATATAAAATGTGATTTTTATGGCTGTGATTTTAACATAAAGCTTTTATTCCTGAGCCATTTTCCAGGCAGGGGATATCATATAAATGCAGACAACTTTAAATTTTCTGTATTAATGAGAACTGTGGATTGCTAATCCAAAGAGAATATATGAAAATCATATATATATATATAAAATCAGTTTCATTTACTCTAAGAAGACAATAATTATTCATTAGATTTTTATCCACAGGAAATCTTGTAATATTTTGAGTTTTAGAGTATATATCCTACTCAATTGCCTTATTAACATTTCAGGTTTCATTTTAATTCATATCATTTTAGTTCATTAGAATGAATGCCTGCTATATGATAGATATTGTGATAGGCACAAAAATGAATAAGACACGGTCCCTCTCATCAAGGAGCTTATAATCTGGAAAAGAGGGGTGGTGACAGACACATAAGAAACTAATTATTAATAAAAGGCAGACTGATAATGCTGAATAAAGATTTGAACAATATGCTGTGGGAACCCAGAGGAAGGAGTGATTGTTTCTTTCCAGAAGAATCTTGAAGGAGATGGTGACAGTGAAACTGAACCCTGAGTGATAAAAAAGCTTTTTATAACCCAAGAGCTGAGTCTGGGAATATTGTTGAGAGAGGCATTTTAGACAGAGGTATAGGTGTGGAAGAGTACATTTTTCTTGGGTAACAGCAGTTAGTCTGATGGCTTGAGAGGTGGGAGCATAAAGAACAGTGAAGTGGGAGAGCCCTTTGAAACCAGAAACCTAAAAATAACTGTTTTGTTTAGTCATGAAATAAGCTATAGGGAAAAGTTGAGTAAGCTAAGAAATTAAGGTAAGGTGGAGAAGCTAAATGATTCCATGTTTACCTTGGTTAGGTTTTCATAATGGCACTTCATTTTGTTTGAAGAGCATTCAAGGCTGTTATACGTATCCATAGTCAAATGCAAGAATAAAAATGTGTATTTTGAAACTCATATACATGATTTGTCATTTTATATTTTAGATTATACCTTTGTCCTTCCATGAGTTTGAATTCAATGGGGAGAAAAGCAGGAGAGCTCCTGGTATTAGGTATTTTGAAAAGTTTGAAAAGTAGTCTGAGAAGCTTTCATGAAGGGAATGGGGAGAAGAATATACTGCTATAAAAGAAAATGTTTGTTCCATACAGTAGAAAAGAAATACAAATATTGATAGACTTTTATTCAAGTTATTGGTTGATTTAGTGTCCATGGTAGACAGAGTAAGTCAGAGAAGACTTTATGATGTATTCTTTAAAAAAAGAAAAAGGTACTGAGTAGTGTTTCGTAGATATAGAAGATGGCATACTTGGATAAACAGAAGCAGGAGAAATGGCATGTACAGAGGCTTACTTTGGTATGTCTTTTAGTGCCTGTTTGATGCAAGCAATAGAATAGATAGTACTGAGAAACCATTGAGTGGATGAGGTTGCTTTTTCTCTGTTTCTTAAATGTTCTAGCTATAGAAATACCTTTTGTATTCGACTCTGTTGACAGTAATCAGTATTTAAAAGTGTCACCTTTTTCTTTTCTTTTTTCTTTTTTTTTGGGTAAATTCCTAAATGCATTTTAACCTAAAGTTTCAGGAAGAGTCTTTGGTGGATGACTCATTACTTCAAGATGATGATGAAGAAGAAGAGGACAATGAATCTCGTTCTTGGAGAAGATGATTTGACTGATCATTGATCTGCATATGCTAGAACTCTACCTGTGTTTCATTAGTATTATCTAATGTACTTTTACATATTTGTAAAAACAATTTTTGGTAAAATGTGATGAAGATGGATTTCACAAATAGACAAAAGAGAAGAAAACTACCTTCTGATCCTGTATTTTGAAAGATTGATGTTTGCATTTTATTTCAGTAAACAATTGCTAAAGACATCACACTAGAAACATATGCAATGTTTTTATTACATACTTCTACTGAACATTACAGAATTCTTTGGGTTCTTTGTAATTTAATGAATAGGTCTGAAGACTTAATGACCAATACTTGTTATAACTTAAAGGATTTTGTTTTACTCCAAATAAGGAATGAATTTGCATTTAAAATCTTAATGAATGTTTTCAAAAATGAATAGATAACATAGTATTCTAACTAAAGTCTCCAAGTTATGTATTCATAATATTACATAGTAGTATGCTTAGGCTTTACTATGTATTAGCCTTTTGTTGGACTTGTGTATGTATTTTACCATATGGGTTTTAATGATAACGGTGTATGACTGCTTTGCATTTGAGTCCTTATGCATTCAGATGTTAAAAATAAAGTGGAATGGTCTCTTGAAAAGAAAAGAAAAGAAAAAGCAATGACAAAAAAAAACCAAACAAGACAATGTTCCTTGATTTAAAAAAAAGAAAAAAGAAGAAAAAAAAAGTTAAAATAAATAGACCATTCCAGATGGTGATCTACCCTTCCCCCAATTATCACAAAAGGAGCTATAATCACTAATTTATTCTTAATGATAATGATTACTGGTACCTTTACAATAATGTACAATCCATTGTTTAAAATTTATACCACTTCAATTTGATTTGATCCTATAAGCTTTCAACAGATGTCTTAAAATTTAAAAGCAGGCTGATTAGTTTGGAACCAGACTTCAAGTAGAGCTAACATTTGGTGAATAAGAAAACATCACATTACATTTTGGATGTATGAAAGAAAACTTGACCAATTGAAGATGTATGAATAAAGAAATGTACTATAGATACTACTTTAGGAAAACACTGTTTGGTAAGTGTTCCAGTCTGATATTTTAAGTGTGCATTTCCTATACTTGTATAAAAATCTTTGACATTTGCAACAATATTGTGATTTTTAAGTGGATTTCTCTGGCAAATGAACATGATCATTGAAAGTTAATACAGCAGTTTCCAGGAAATAAATGCATTCTTTGTAGAATGGAGGGTGGAAGATTACATATTTATCTTCTAAGATTCATCCTTTTGGTTGCCAGTGTTTCTACCCCTCCTGAGATTATAGTAATTATATTAAAAGTCATATGAAAAAATCACTTTCTTCCCATACTGGGGTCCTCACAATCACAAACTGTAATTCCACCGTCACAGTCTTCTGCCAGTGGAGCAACTAGCGGATGCTGTTCCTCTTTTTCTTTTCTTCCCACACTTAGGGTTAAAGTTGCATATATGTTTTGATAGTAATACTATTTCATAGGAATGTTTTGATTTGAAGTTGGTACATAGTTCTATTTTAAAAATATAGAATCAGCTTTCAAGGTCAAAATAGTGGCTTTACTCAAAATTTCTTTACTTAGATCTATGATATATTTTTATGTAATCTTGTAATCTCTTGTATGTTGACTGTGTGCTATTCTGATTCATTAGGTAAGTTTGTTTTCTTTTCTTTTTAGTAGTCGTGAAAGATGCCAAATTGGCAGAGGCTCACGTTTCTTCTCTTTACACCAAACAGGTATTATAAAGAAAGAAAATCTTTCAAAGGCCAGTTAAATCTCCATGCTGATTCTTGGCTTTATAATTTGTTTAGTAAATTTTAGCATGATATTTTACAACTATTGTAAAATTTCTTTATAATGTTACTGAAATCGCATACTATTTGTTTAAATTCGTAAATAGCTAATCACTTTCCCTAGTCTTAAATTCTGTAGTAACCTAAAATTAAAATGTTTTACACCATGTTGCTTTGAATGAATCAGAAGACAAGTATGTTTTGATCAGGTCCTAAAGTGTGGGGATTAAATATTAGCAACATTTATTAGATCATAATTATATTTTTATTATCATTAATATGATTTTAACCATAAATATTACTTAGTATTAAATTGCTATTAGATTTTTTTGAATTAATGAGTATGTTTATAAATACTAGTACTGTACATGTACTTTCATGTGTTCTCATTTAAAACTTAAGATATCCCTTTGAAATACTTGTTAATTCCATTTTACAGATAAGGAAACTTAGGCTAATAAAGATGGAATGACTTGCCCAAAATGACAGCTAGTAAGTGGAAGAACTAGACTTGAATGCAGGCATTTTGATTTCAGTGCCAACTTAAAGAAAAAAAATTCTACATTGCTACCTTCTTCCTAATTACTGATTGGGCATGAGATTGTGTTTGCAGTAAATGTGGTAGTTGTTACACAAAATTAGTAGACTTCTTGGTTATTAGTCAGTTCATACCTTTACCCTCCCTTTTAATACAGCACTTTGTTCATCTCTGTTACAGTACTTATGTTGTAATATAATTTATCTGGTTTATATGTCTGTCTTCCCCACTAGATTACAAGCTCCTCTAGGAAGGGGACCATGTCTTATTCATCTTTTTATCTCTAGTGATTATCACAAAGCCTGGCTCATAGTGGGCATTCAGATGTTTGTTGAATGAATTAATGAATGATTGCAATTTAAATCTCCAATAATGGAGTGACAATTACCTCCCTTGTTAATTCTTATCAATTTTCCAAAAAATCTCTCTTGAAGGTCTTCTCAGTCACTGGGACCGTCTTACTAAACAGTTGATAACAGTTAAGTATTGCAGTGGGGTTACAAATACTGATGGAGGAATGCACGTGTAGTTCTAGTGGAATTTCCATATAAAGTAAGCTACTAAAATTTTGGAGTATTAAATGTTGTCCATTTCAGAAGTAAAATAGCCTTTTGGTTTCTATCAGTGTGTAAGAATAGAAATATCAAGAGCCACTAATCTAGTCCATCCCACTAATGTTTTATATCCAAAGATGAGCTAGTGTAGAGTACTGGACAAAGGTTAAGAGATTTAGCTTTCGGTCCCCAGCTCTGTAACTAACTCTCTGGCCTTAGACAAGTCTCTTAACTTATCCAGGGTTGTTTCCTTGTCTGTAAAATGAAAGGGGTTGGACTAGATAATCTGTAAGGTCCCTTTCCCATCTTTATTTTCCCTGGTGTTAGTGTTTGATCTAAAATAATTTAATGTATCTTTTGCCAGTTCTCCCTACCTGTTGTTGCTATTGTTTCTATCATCTTATTGGTGGAAACAACTTAAATTTGGTTATGATAATTTGTATAATGTGTCTTGGTACAATTTTGTATATAGTGTTCCTGAATGTTTGCCTTTGCTACACAAATTCCATTTAACCTATAAAATATAAATTAACTTGTGTACTCATTAGCACTTTCCCTTAGTACTCATAACTTTTCTTTCACTTCTAGACTCAAAGTGTAAAACTCTTATTACAGTATGCTACCTAAAACTTGAAACACATTTTTTCAAATTCTGCAGTTCTCCTAGCAAGTTCTTTACTTTAGTGCAGATCTGGGCTGCAGTGGGATTAAAAAAAAAAAGGAATTAAGATGTAGATAGCTACTTTTTACAGGAAAAATTGAAAGGCAATCATTATTATTGGTTAGAAGATTGATTAGGATTACCTCAAGGGATGATTGTCATTTTACATATTTCACTCAATATTTTATGTCTCTACTTAAGCAGTGTTGTTTTAAATGTTATTGGATAATTGTAACATTTAAAAATTAATTTTAGTATTTAACCAGTACCCAAGCATTTAATGAAATCATTTTGCATGAATGGGAGAATATTTCATAGCTTGTGTTTTATTTTGTTATATGATTGAATGTATCAAACAGTAGTTTACTATGAGGATAAGACTTCACTGTTTTAGCTGATTACCTGCAGAAAGTATGGCTGAGCTTAATTGAAGGAAATTTCTTGTTATTAGGACTTTTATTGGGACTATTTCCAATCTTATTTGGAACACTAATCATTGGCTGTAAGGGTTACAAAAAGAAAGCAAACAGTTGCTTGTTTGGTATGTTAAGAATATCATTGGCTACTTTAGAGTATTATACAAACTTTATCGATCTATATTTTCTTTCTTTTTTCCCGTTAACTATAATGTGAACTAATCATAGAAAATTAGTTTTAGTCCTTCTAGACTTAGAATTTATATAAATATTTATAAGCTTTTTTCCCCCCCTTTAAGAAAATCTTTTAGCCTTTTAAAACAAAAATGCCCTGTGTAAAGTTCTAGCTAGATAGGTTAGTTCACTTTTTGGTCTCAGGGCTTTTCTCATTCTTCTGAAATCTTGTACTTAAAAGTACACAGTATTTGTAAGGCAGAAAGAAAACTTCCTTTTCCCAGATGTCAGGAACTACTTTGTTCTTGTTAACTTCTTGAGCTGGCTAGTTGCTCTAAGGTATGTATACAGGCTTTTAGAGGAGAGTAGTTTTGGGGTTTTTTTCTCTCTGTTCATTGTATACCTATGAAATGACAACAGATAATCTTCCAAAATAGCTACCTAAAAGTCCTAAGAAAGAAGAAACCTTGGTGAACATGACTGCCATGCTCAGAAATTTTTAATGAAAACATCATACTAGTTTAGTAGAAAAATTCCTAATTTGGTAAATAACTTTCTTGTAATTTATCTATATTATGTAGTCATTACTTAGTGTAATTGAAAGCACTTTTTTATTTTATATTTTTGTACCAATTTATTATACTTGCTTCTTCTAATCCCTCCCTCCCTCTTACTTTATTTCATCTATTCTCTTATCTTCCAATCATGCAAGTTAGTCTTCCTTTGTATACCAAATACCGTCTCATTTTGATGTGTTCCTTTTTATTTATCTTTGTGGTTAATCATTGTGCTTAGTATTTTATGTCATTTAGTGTGATTAAAAAATG